CGGAGGGCGGCGCCCGTGGGGCGCGTGGTCGCCAGATCTCTTCCGATGTGCAGCCACGCGCAGGAAGGGGTGCAGGGATGGGCGCGGGGGGCGCCAAGGGGACAGGTAGGACGGGGGAGAAGGGAGGATGGTAATGCCCTTCTCCTCCTCTTTCTCCTCTGTCTCCTCTCTCTCTTCCTCCCCCTCCCCCTCCTCCTCGTCGTCCTCCTCCCTTCTCCTTCTCCCTTTCCTACCTGTGGTAGCGGTGGTGAGGAATCGGCCCCTCAGAATTTTCATCCCGAGTCGTTTAAGGACGGTCTGGGGAGCCTGGGGAGAGCCCCACTGGGATGAGCGAGGGGGTTGCTGAGGTAGCTCATTAGTGGACCGCTAATGCCCCAAGCGGCTTAGGGGGGACAGCGATCCGGGCGAAGTGGGATCCGCCCATTTAGCGGAGTTGTCCAATCCCCCTAAGCCACTTGGGGCATGTGTAACCCATTGATAAGCTAAGTTTCGCCACTTAAAACCCCTTTGGCGTCCACTGGTAACCCCCGATCCCCCTAGTAACCCCAGCGCTCATCCCAGTTACCCGAGATCCGACGCTCCAAAACAATTAGAGCGGGCGGTTTGGGGTTGTGTTCGGCCTCCAGGGCAGGGGCCTTCGCCAGGCCTCGGGACAGCCAAAGAACGACTCGGGTTGAAAATGCGGCGTCAGGGAAGTGGTCCAGACCTCCAGGGGCCACGCAGCGAAAAAAAATGAGCAGCTGGATTTCTGAGTAGAAGCTTTTTTGCTCCTTAGAAGGCGCGGGCCGTGTCTGCAAATGTAATGTCTAAGAAGGAGCCGCCTCCTGAGAAGCCTTCCCCCTATCCCTGTCTTCCTGTGCGCGCCGCCAAATGTGTGCTCTTCGCCCAGACCACCTCGAGCCATTCTCAAGCACAACAGAAGGATATTCGCCATTTCCGACCTTCCCTGGTATCCTGGCGTTGCACTTTTTTGCAACGGGCGTCTTCGCACGGTGTCTACCACAGGAACCCTCACAGATCAATCTGGCGCAGAACGACGCAGAAAAATTGTGTCCGGGGTTTTGCGGTCATTTTTCACGATGTTGCAAGTTTCCCCCTACATTGGATCTCAGGGTCACCCAGACCCCCTTGAGTGGTAAAAAGCCACCACGGACGGATTGTCTTCATTTTCGGCCTCTGGGGACCGGGACTGGGCCCCAGGAGCAGCGAAACACGATTCGCAGGACGACAGGGCGGCGAACAGCGGTCCTGGAGAAGGGGTCGAGACTCGAGGGGATCGACGCTATGAAAAACTGATGGCGTCGGGGGTCTGGGCCCCAGACAGGGATTCGCCTTCGAGGATCGAAGGAGTTGGCATCTCTTCCTCGGCGAAAGGCCAGCGGAAGCTGGTGGAAGTAAGACGAGGGAGGCTCCCCCAGCGGACGCCGGCGGAAGTAAACATCGGCCTCCCGAGAGATGGCAACATTTCTTGGTCTAGGGTTTCTGGAATCGGACATGTGTTCTTCAATCTGCGGCCCCGGAGTTCTCTGGGAGTGATTAGCTTATGCGTCCCAGATCCGTTTTTGTCAATCCTGGGGCCCGATCGCAGGCCCATGGCGTCGATACATGGGGGAGATGCTGGAAGGTGTATCTCTTGTGCCCTTTACGTGGGCTCACCCAAAAGGGGCGGGACAGGTGCACGCTTCTTATCCCCCCGTTGATCGCCCCCATGCGTTACCCTGAGGTCCAACGTAGCGGAACAAAAACAACCACCGTGAAACATCGCGCCAGAGCCCCAGACCCCATCCTTTTGCATCGTTTCCCGAGCCTGATCGATCTGTGAGGGCCCTGGGGCCCGACACTTGGTCGAAAAACGCCCCATCGTTGAAGCAGTGCAACGCCAGGATCTGAGCTGGGATGGGCGCGGGGGTTGCTAAGGGGAGAGGGGGGCGATCAATGGACGCCAACAGGGTTCTACCTGGCCTAATCAAGTTTATGAGTGGGGTGCTAATGCGCCAAGTGGCTTGGCGGGATAGCGATCCAGGCTAATCGGTCTTCGCCCGCCTAGCGGAGTTGTCTAATCCCCCAAAGCAGCTTGGGGCATGTGTAACCCACTGATAAGCTAGGTTGCGCCAGGTCTAGCACCTCCTGCGTCCTCTGATAATCTCTCATCCCCTCAGCAACCCCCGCGCCCATCCCAGAGGGTAAGCAACGCCCGAGTAACGCCCGGGCTGCAAAAAGCCATATCGTCGGAGATCTGGGTCGTCGGGGGCCGCGCCCGCCCGGGGCGGCGATGCCGTGGCCCCCCGCGGGCGCGGGCGCGCCCGGGCTGCGCCGGGGCGAGCCGCAGGCGCGGCCGCGGCCTTCGGTCGCGCAGCCTCAGAGCCTCCCCGAGGGGGCCTTCGAAGGGCATCGTCGCGAGGAGGTCACAGACCTCCTCGCGTTGTTGAAAAACGCACGACGGGAGTTTTTTTTATGAATTTTCTGCTTCTGGAGCCCAGACCCCCTGGCTTCCTAGGGGTTACGCGCAACGAAAATCTGTAGATGCAGAGCTGGCGCCTTCTGAGAAGCAGGTTCCGTCTAAGAAGCCCTCCCCCCTCCTTCCTAGCCCCTGGTGCGCGCCGCCAAGGGAGAGGTGTCTTCGACTTGACCCTGGCTTCGGATCCGCCGTACTGTTTGGGAAATTCTCCTAATTGAGGCCCGGGTCTTCGAGCCGTGAAAAGAACCCAGACCCCCTCGCGTTGTGAAAAAATGTCGACCGGAGGTTTTTCATTACTTTGGGCCTCCAGGGGCTTTCGCCGGGCCTCGGGACTTTCAGAAAACGACGTAGGATGGGTCAAGACTTCTGGGAGTCGACGTTGTGAACAAAATCACGACGTCGGGGGTCTGGGAACACAGCGCTGGGTGTTTCGCTGTTTTCGGCTTGTGCCTGACAGGGCCTCGGCACCGTCCAAACCACTCAGGCTGAAAAACTTGTCTCCAGGAAGGGGTCCAGACCTCGAGGGGCTCACGTTTATGAGCAAGCATGTGAAGGTCGGATGTCTGGGGATCCGCCGCACTCTGGTCAAGTCTCCTTGCGGCCACTCCTGCCTCAGGTAGGTTGGGCTGTCATTTCCGTACAAGTATTGAGGAACCAGCGACGGTAAAGCGGGGCGGTAATCTACGTGACCCGAGTCGTTTTTTGACAGTCCCGAGGCCCGGCGAGGGCTCCTGGGAGACCGGAAAGGCGAAAAAACGTTTCGCCGCGAAACGTGGGGGGGGGATGTCCGCCCCACCTGCACAAAATCTCGTCGAGGGGCCCTCTGGGGGGTCTGGGGGCGCCACTTCCCTCCGGCTGCGCGAAAAAAAAAGGGGGGTCTGGGGGCGCGAAAAAAGGTTGCGGACGGTGTCGCGGGCAATGCATGGACCTCCAGGCATCGACAACGCATCCGGGGCGAGAAGCTCCCCGCAGGGCAGGGTTCAGGAGCTCGTGGGCCAGATTGGAACGCTCCTGTCAGGATGTCTGGGGATGGGGCATGGGCCCCCTCGCGCTGCGGAAAAAAATGCAAAAAAAACACGACAGGAATTTGTTCGTTGTTTTCCGCTTCCCAGGGGCCCTCACCGGGCCTCGGGACCGTCAAAAAATAGTCAGGATGAAAAAACAGTCCCAGGGAAGGGGCCCGCACTCTTTGGGGTCACGTCATGGAAAATCATGGCGTCGGGGGTCTGGGCTACCCGCAGGGAAGGGTTCGGGAGCTCTTGGGCAGCGGAGTGGAAAACTCATGGCGGAGGATGTCTGATGACGGGAGGGAGCGGGGCCTCCAGAAAGGGATGGGGGCCGAGGAAATTGCTGCGTTTGGTCGGGGGCCCTGGAAACGACATGCCTTTTTTATACCGTTTTCGTTTTGCCGTTTTTGTTTGCCGGTTTCGACGCCGTTTTGTTACCGGTTCCGTCGCTGTTTTTGTTACCGGTTCCAGCTCCGGTTCCAGCTCCGGTTCCAATCCTGGAGCCGTTTTTTTTCCCGTTTCTGGTCGCCGGTGTTTGTCCCGTTGCCATTTTCAAGAGACATTTCTTTGGAAATGGTGAAACCAGGGCCCTTCCGTTTCTGGAGCCTACTGAGGGCGCCGTTGTTGCGTCGTTTCGCCCTTCTGGGCCTTTCGCGCGGTGGCGCCAGCCCGCTGGGGGTGGAGGCTCAGGCGCGGCCTGCTTCAGGGAGCCCTTCGCGAGGCGCTGGGGGCTACAGAGCAGCGCGAAGAGCGGGGGGGCACCTTGGGTTGTCGTTTGGTTCTTCGGCTTGATCTCGGGGTCCGGAGCATTGGCTTGCAGAGTTCCTTGGCGCACCGGCGGGTCTGCGGTGGCAAGGTGACCCTGGCCTGGGAACACGGGGGCGCTGAAGTCGGTTCGCCGGCGTGTGGTGCAGCCGAGCTGCGGCTCCGATACTTCACGCCGGGATCACCTCGGGCACCCCACGTCCTTTTTGTCACAGCATGGCTTCCCAGAGCCGCAGGCCTGGAGGTTGACGCCAATACCAACATCGGCGGTGTGCCTCCACCGAGGGAAGAAGATCCCCATCTCGGTGATGGTGGTGATATTCTGCCTTCCAGGGTGACCGAAATATTACCACCAACGCCGAAATCTAGGATCATCTTCCCCCTGGGGGGGGGGGGGGGCAACCCCCTGTGTTGGTGTTGGTGCCTATTCCCAGGCCTCCAACGAGCCATCAGTGCGGTCAGTGAGCGCGGCAGGGCGTGGCGTACAAAGAACTGCCACGCCGGATCGTGAGGTGTTGCAGCATCTTTGGCCCAGAACGGCGACGCTCTCCGAACTCATTCCGAGGCGGCAATTGTGGAGGTGATGCGGGCGACGGTTCAAAACACAGACCATGCAACAATCTAGCTCTGGAGCCGGGGACCGGCCTCGTGAGAGGAAACCCGGAAGCCGGATCCGGGCCGACAAAGCCGTCCGCCGTGTCGTTGCCGCGCCGCGAGGGCGTCAGGGACTTGCACCCTGTGACCTTTTGGGGGGGGGCGGGTCGCCCGGCATGAGCGGAGGCCGGGGGAGACAGGGCGCCGGTGGCGAGGCGAGCGGGCCGAGGACGAGGCCATGTCCGAGCATCGCAGCCAGGCCGCGCTGTGCCAGGAGAGCCGCCCTCCCCTTCAGGGGGGTCACCGGGGGCGGGCGGGAGGGGGGGGAACGTCTATAGGGCAACAAACAAGGACATGAACATAACAACTCCGAGGTCCGTGCGGATTTCTCAAATCGGCGCTGGACCCCCCTCCTTGGCGCGCGGATCGTGCCAGGGGCGGCGCCGGAGGCGCCGCCAGGGGGCCCCAGCGCCGATCCGAGAAATCCGCGCGGACCTCAGAGTTGTTATGTTTATGTCAGTGCTCGTTTCCCTAATCAGTCTAGATCGCTCGGGATGGGGAGCTGGGCTCAGAGCGGGGGAAGATACCGATACCGCTGCTCGGCCTGGAGAGCACTCGGCGATCGACACGGCTAGAATCCCAGTCGACTGGTTGTGGAGTCCAAGCCTCAAAGAGCTGGGCGCCAGAACACTTCCAACACCCCTTCGACGGAGCTCTCGAAGCTCGTCGAAGAAGCTTCGGAAGGAGTTTCTAGAACAAATCGGGGCACACGTCGCGAAAGTCAGTTAGGAAAAGCCTTCTGGGACACGCTGCAGCTTCAAGAAAGCTGCTGCGACGTTTCCAGCCGGAAGCCGGAACGAGCTCTGGGGCTACCTTTGCCTGCCGGCTTCTAATATGACACCCTCTGAGCTCTCAGAGAGCTGTCCGGGAAAAGGTCTAGTCAAAGTGCATCCCAGGAGAGGTTCAGGGAGTAGCGGTGTCGGTGCGCTCTTGCTGCCCCATGATTGGGCACGTCTACACCACCACCACCACCACCACCGTGGTTGGCCAGGGCCATGCTGGGCTCTGGCATGGTGTATCTTTTGGCCTTCTGCCCATCCCGACACCGTGCTTGGGTTGTGGGCCAGAGTTCTCAGGGATGCTTCTTGGGGTCTCTTCGGAGCTCTCTTGGGCCGCCTTGGAGAGCGCTTGGAGCGTCTTGGGGCCCTCTTGGGGCCTCTTTTCGGCCTAGTAGACACTTCTTGGGGCCTCTTGGGGGCCTCTTGGGCCCTCTTGGGGCCTCCTGCCTGGGACCCTTTTAGGGCCGAAGGCTCGAATTATCTGTTCGTGGTCCCCCTCTTAGGGCCCTCTTCAGCCGTCTTGTAGCCCTCTTGGGGGCCGTGGGCCGTCTTGGGGCGGTCTTCGGGGCCTCTTGGGCCGTGTTGGAGCGTCTGGGAGCTGAAAAGGCGAGAAGGTCGCTTTGTTGTCCAGCATCAACACACTCACACACACTCACACACAAGGCAAATCAATCCTTTTTGCCTCTTGGGGCTATCTTGGGCGGCTTCTGAGAGGAAGCCTCTTAGGGCGCCTTGGCATCCTCTCGGGCCGACTTGGGGTCATCTCGGATGTCTTTGAACGATCACGGGGCGTGTCGGGGCCATCTTTGACCGTCTTGATGGCCTCTTGGGGCCCTCTTCGCCCGTCCGGAGGTCCCCTTGGGCCCGAAACAAGTCATGCGACAGGATGCCAGGAACCCCAGGGGGCAGGCGCCAAGCCCTAAAAGAGACTTCGGAGATCAGGGCCCACGCCCCTGAAACACTCCGTAGGACTGAGGGCTGAGGCTCAGGGCATTGGGCAAAGGCTGGCGGATGCTGTGCGCGGGCGCCTTCCGCAGAGGCCTGCCCGTGCGGGCCGGAGGAGCTGGACCAGGAGGCGCGGCAGGGCGAGCAAGGGACGTACCAGAGTCCAATCAGCGATGCTGCAGCACATCATTATGTCCCCAGTCCCGTTTTTCACGAGTACCATACAAGCATTCCTCAGCGCTACGGTAGGCGCTCTCTTCAAAGACGGTCGCCCCCTTTGGTGCGCCCGTCTGACGAGCGCCCCATAGGCCTGCTCTTCGGACAAAGGCCCTTCGATTTGTGGGGATTCCGAAGGGGTCGCGACAGGAATTCTAGACGCTTCGCGTAACCCCGCCAGCGTTTCCTGTTGGAGTGGAGCCCAGAGGTCTACAGTCGGTGGACTGACTACGTGCGGCAGCATAGAGATGGTATTCTTGGTGATAAGACTGACGAAGCGTCATGGCCCCCCAGCAGGCTGAACCCCTTCCTGGTTGGCATTTCAGGGCAAAGGACCCCCGCAGAATGCCACCCAGCCAATATCCCTTGGGACGGCACGAGGGCGGCGGCCACCTCTCGAAAAATGTCGTACACGCGGACACATGGCGGGCATACGCTTCACTCCTGGGAGAGCAGCGAGGCCTCAACCCCTTCCGCCACACCAGCAGTACCCTGCTGGGCTACCTAGCAGATATGGACGCCTCCGCCCTGGCCGACGGCACCATTAGTTAGTTCCCTGGCAAGACAAGGTCCAGTCCAGGTCGCCACCAGCGCAATGGGACAGGGCGACTCGCCCGCAGCCAGCTGGATCGACGGGCCCAGGGAGGCCGCGAGCGCAGGCTCCAAAGCGAGGCAAGTCAGGGAGTCGTACATAAGGTACAGGCTGCAGGGCTTTCGGGCGCAGCACGCAGCGGCGATACCCCCCAGCCAGCCCGCGAGGCGCTCGACATTCCCAGGGCCAAGGATGAATTACCACAGACCCGTGAAGCAGCAGTCGACCAGAGTAACGCCGGAGAGTCTTGCAAAGTAGAGACAGATGTACAGGACTCCAGGAGCCCGACCCCTGACTTCAGCCCAGACGCGGAGGCCCCAGCCTTGGCGGCTAAGGAGAGGAGCCCCGCCAGGAGCTCGGAGGCATATCCCCTTCGCATATGGTGCGACGCGCCTGGTGAGCCAAAGGGATCCACCACCCAAGACCCATAGACGCCCTACGCACAAGCCGTCGCCCAAGACGCAGCCAGCGAGAGCGGCGAGCAAGGCAAACCAAGCCCCCAAAAGGTTTTTGACGATGCCCCGCGGGACAACACACCGTCCTGGAATCAAGAGCGAGCGAGGGACGCCAGCGGGTCCAACCTACCGCCCTGGAAACAAGGACGCACCCGCCTAGACACGGAAGAAGCTGCGGGTGGAAGGGGCTACGAGCAGCGAAGACGCCCAGGTGGAACCCAGTGCGACTCGAGCCCATGAAAGGCAGCAGCTCCGACCACCGGGCATTCGGCAAACTTAGAGACCCTGTGTCCAGCGGCCCCATGTACAGATGCTCCCTGGCGGATGCAGAACTGGAAAAGATCGAGGATATCCAGGTCAAGATTGCGCGTCTGCAGAAAACGCTCGGCGGCGTCTTCAACGGCGTTTGGCACGCGTGGTCCAGGCGCGCGGCACAAGGGAATGAAGGAAAAAAGGGGCTACAAAAGCAACCCTCGGCTCAAAAGACCCGAGACCTGCATGGGCTTCATGGACGCCTGGAGGCGGTTTGGCTCGATGCGTACAAGATGGACCAGGTTCGCAATCTCGAGGTAGATTGGGATTCCATCCGCCGCAAGCACATGAAGGGCGCCGGTCGGCATGGCGGAGAATCACAGGCTCCCTGGGCAACGGGTAGTCGGGGCGCACATGCTCCTTGATCAGCAGGGACCCACAGGGAAGGACGCCGGGATGCCCAGGCTCCCTGGACAATGAACAGTCCAATGGCCCGCACCGAACAATGGCACGGCTGGCAGGGCTGGTCAAAATGGAGCGAAGGTGACCCCACTTGGAACGAATCCGAATGGAACGATGGGTGCAAGGGCTCCCCCCAGCGAGACGACCACCGCGACCCCGACAAGAGGGGTTGCTGGTGGGCATGAGGCGGCGCCGCAGCACACCAGGCGGGCCTTGTCCCTCGCCCACTGGCAAGTCCACTGGCAAGCTAGCCGCTTCACCGCAGCATGCTCTGTTTGAGGGCGATGTCCAACCAGAACAGCAGCCACCAAGGCCCCCCCGCCGTCATTGGCACGGGCGACGGGCACCTGCCAACCCCACCCACCCCCGACAAGCTCAACGACTTGCGGCGCAGCTGCTCCTCTGGTCAGCGAGCGCTGGCCCGCCACAGGGCCCGTCTCACCCCGCTGCGCCCGGCCCCCGATGGCCGCAATACCTTGGGGCTGCCAATCGCTGGGGCAGGCGGCCGCCCCACCCTTCCAAGGCGCAGCATAGCTAGACAGCTCCGGCTGTTTAGACGCGAGTGAATGGCACACGGATGCCGCAGTTTCACAGGCAACAGCTTTCGGGCGCCCGGGCTGTTCCTACTCCCCGGCGCCCGACGTGTTTCACCTCGCATGAGCCTCCGGTCTTGTGGCTCCTTCCTGGCCCTCTGGGGACTCATGCAAAGCTTTGCGGCCGTCAGCCGCTCCCTGGCTCCCCCCCCCTCTCTCCTCTCTCTTGCATCGCGCGGGCGTGGCCACCGTCTGCCATGCGTCCAGGCAGCCAGACCTCCAGCGCTCGCGCAGCCATCTGCTGCCCTCGGGCGCCGCCGGCTCGCTCCAGCTGCCACGAGCGCGATCCGGGCACGACCCGACGGGCGCGGCTCGGGCCAGGACCCCATTGAGGAAGCCGTCGGACGAAGTGCGGCCCCTATGCCGCGCAGGAGTTACTCGTGCGAAGTACAGTCACCCGCGAGGACTGGCGCCGGACAGCCACCTGCCCATGCACGTCCGCCATGGGAGTGAGCCGCCGAGGACACATCCCCCGGCGCCAGTGGGACCGCTATCCTTTGCCCCGGTGCTTCTTGGATGGATCCCGAGCACCTGGCCGCCCGCCAGACGCCCGCAGTCCCCAGAAGCGGACGGTCGCAAGCCGGCGAGTGGGGCAGCGCCCCGGCAAGGCAGATCAGGCGAACGACCAAGGCCATCGGGACAAGCTGGTCCCAGAGGCACCGGGGTCCTGGATGCGGCCATCGGCTGGGAGCATCGGTCGCCCCCCTAACCTACACCTGGGACAGAGTTTACGTGACCTGGCGGCTGACTGCCGCCCCCTGGCCCCCTGCAGGATCAGCCACCTCTCCGACGATTACCGTCGGCGAGCAAGGGCCGCCCCCGTGCCCTCTCGTGGCAGCCGTCAGCTGCTACCGTTAAAAACTTCTGGCAGCCGTCAGCTGCGCCCCTGGCAACATGGACAAGAGCAGTAAAGGGCCACTAGCTGGCTGGCCAGCCTGCGAGGCGCGCCGTCCGAACGGCCCCCTGGCAATCGATGGTCCACTTCCAGTCCGTGCATGACCGTGCCCCCGGCTTCGGTGGGCGCACATCAGCCAGGAATGGTGCTGGCGGGGCCAGCTGTGGCCACAACGCTGCGACGGGAAGGGGCACCTCCTGAAGCCAGCGCCATCAGAGGCCGTTCCAGTGCTGTTGGCAGACCACCGTCGCGGGGACCCGCAGAACGCAGCCGACAGAATTGCCCGTGGCGCAGCACAGCCCAGACACGTCTTGGTGATAAGACTGACGATTCTGTTCGCTGACCAGTCTACCCGCTGCGGGCAATGAGCGCCCTCATAACGTTCCACTGGACGTGGAATTTACATTCGAACCTGTGCGGCCGTCAGCCGCTCCCTGGCTGTCTGCCTCTCTCACCCTTTTCTTTTCTACGGACTGGATGGCCCTCTGCCATTCGTCCCCATACACACAAGGACGGGACTGCCCTCGGCCACGCGTTCTCGCTGGCCAACGCTCTCATGCTCGCATGGCCTCCGGCCGCCCCCTGGCACTGGGCGTTCCCTGTGGGCCCCCCTCAACCTGGCCGGCGGGTGATGTCAGCACCCACCGCCCACGCCAAGTGAGGGCCCCACAAGAGCAGGGCGGCCAGTTGCCGCATGACCCCGCGGCCTCGCATCATTGTGCGGTGAGCCGCCCCCTGGCGCTGGGGCCCCCTGGTGGCCGCCTCTCTCCCGCCGAACTGGCGATGTCATGTCCCGCCAGTCCGGCCCGCCCCCCCGCGCAATACGCGGTCCTCCATGCGGCGTCTACGACGTTACCCCTAACCGGGCTCCCTGGTGCAGTCGCCCCCCGGGGCCTGGACCATGCTCGCTTGCTGCTCGGGACTGGCGTCGCCCTCATGGTATACATGATGTGTCGCGGAGTGGTGCAGCCTTCCAGCAGATGCCGTGCTTCCCTGGCGCCCCGTTTCCGCCGACTCGGCATGTTCTGAGCCGCTGCCGCGGCCCTGGCCCTTGGCGCCCTGCGGCGACATGGTCGACCAGTCTGTGCCTGGTCACTCCTTGCCACGGTGCCTGTGCTCGTTCGGGTTCGTCCAGCTCTCCGTTCCTGGTGGCGCACCGCTTTCTGGTTCTACCGGCAGTGGCAGCGCCCTCGCCAGTGTGATGCGTTGCCGTATGCACAGTGCTGTTCAGGCGTTTCTGGCGTGCAGTTCCTAATTCCACCTTTGGCACCTCTGCCTCAGGCCCGCAAGTTGCATCAGCTTCCCTGGGCGTTGCAAACCAGCCAGCCAGTTCCACCAGCAGCTGCCCCTCAGCCGCCGCTTCTGAGTGCTGGCCCGGCCGGCTGGCGGGTCGCTCAGTAGCCAACTAGGCTGGCCCGTGCCCCGGACCCCCTCTCGGCGACTGCTTCACGCGTCTGCCCACGGCAAAAGAAAGTAACCCTACCAGTCTGGTATTTGGCTGCGCCCCAACATCGGTTGGTTAATTTGCACATGCTCGCTCCTGGACCTGGTTCCTGGCAGCTGCAGCCCGCGCCACCTCCGCTTCCGGTGATTTGAGGTGCCGCGTAGGCCTTTGTTTGCTGGCGCGTTGAGCAATTAGGTTCGCGCGCGGCCTGCCCGTCCCGTTTGACGCCGCCCGCGCTTTCGCTTGCGGCTGCGACAACAAAGTAACCCCACCAGATGAGCTCGTTGGCCGAGGTGATCTTGCATGTGCTTCGCTTTCGACAAGTGTTACAGGTTGTGCTGCCGTTTGCAGTCTTGTCGGTGATGAGGTTGCCCCTCTTTATTCTTGCGCCGACACGATCTTTTGGCATCTGTGTCGCCTACATCACGGATGTCGTCTGGGTGTGCCAATCGGTCTAGTTCGTCTCTGACGGTGCTGTTTGCCAAACTCACACCGAACGATCGGCCTCTGCGTGTTTATGGTCGCGCCGCCGTGCCATTTTGGCTGCGCTTACTTGCTGGTCGCCACCCGGATTTCCAACGCCAGCGGGTTTGGGAGTATCGGTTCCGGTGTTCCTTCTGAGTGGCTGCCCGCTCGCTCGCTTCGCTTGCCGTTCGTCTCCTGCTGCCTAGTCGCGGCCCGGCTATTGTTCGGACGGCTTTCGACCCGCCTCGCGAGCCTGTTGACCAAAAAGTAACCCCACCAGCCCATCCATAAAAGATGCCCAGAGGAAATGCCTCGATCAGGGAAGTGGGCAGCACACAGAGGAAGGGTCCTCCAGTGGAGGCCTCTTGGAGCGTCTTGGGTGCCTTTTGGCGGTCCTGGACGCCTCTTAGAGCATCTTGGGTGCCTCGGAGAGCTTCTTGGGGCCGCTTGGGGGTCTTTTGGGGACCTCTTGGAGGCCTCGTGGGCGCCTGTTTGGGCCTCCTGGGGCCTCCTGGGCGCCTCTTGGGGCACTCTTCACGCGTTGTTGGGAGCCTTGGGAGCGCTCTTGGAGCCATCTTGAGCCATCTTGGAGTCATCGTGAAGCCTCGGATGGCCATCGGAAGCGAAATAAAGGCGAGAAAGCCCAAAACACTGACTTCCGCAAGGTTTTGGAAGGATTGTGGTTTCTTTGGGGCCTCCAGGGGAAGTTTTTAGGCCACTTGGAGCCGTCTTGAAGCGGTCTTGGGGCCTCTTGGAGCATCGTGGGGGCCATCTTGAGGCATCTTGGGATATCTTGAGCCATTTTGGAGATCAGCTTGGGCTCTCCCAGGCGTTTTTGGAGTGATCTGAAGCAGCGCCCCCCTCCCCTAGGATGCCCACATGTGGCCAACATCTCAGTAACTTCAATGATTTTGGCAGTCTCGCCGAGGCCTCTTGGAGCGTCATGGGGGCCTCTGGGGGGCCTCTTGGGGCCTCTTGGGGGTCTCCTTGGGTCTTGGGAGCTTCTTGGGGGCATCCTGGGGGCCTAGTGGGTGCTTCTTGGGGCCGCATGGAGCCATTTTGGGGCCCTCTCGGGACATCTTCGGGCCTCCTGGGCGCCTCCTGGGCGCAATTAGCCTCCCCCCCTCAGAAGGCCAAATGAAATGGGGCGAAAACCCTCGTAAAACCAATGATGCTGGCTTCCTCGCCGAGGCCGTTTTGGACGCTCCAACGCGTCGGTGAACCCCCCGTCGAGGTCCAGGGGAGGGGGTAAGGGGGAGGGGTAAGATGGGGAAGAAGGAGGGATAACACAAGGGGAAAAAGGAGGGGTAACACAGGAAACACTCCAGACCACCTACGCCCAAAGGGCTGGTGGGATTACTCCGACGGCGGGACCTCGCATCATGATCTCCCAAACTAATATGGAAGTGAGCTTCATCGCCGTCCACGTGAGCGCAGAGACTCCTATCACGTCTCCTCATCACCCTTTTCCGTTTCGCCTTGGCGGAACCTCTCTTCCCGCCCCTTGCCCTGCCCCCTCCTCCCTATCCACACATCCACCTACACCACCTCCTGCCGTCCTCCTGCCTATGCTCCCACATCCACCTACACCTCCTCCCTCTCCCCTAGGTGTGGAGATGTGGAGGTGTGGAGGTGGAGGTGCGGAGGTGGAGGTGGAAGAGGATCAGGGGGTGGACATGGACGTGGGCCTTGGCGTGGAGGTGGAGTTGGCGGCGCTGGGGGAGCAGGGGGAGGAAGGAGGAGACGGACGCACCGCAACTCGCTCCCTTGCGCTGTCCTCTTCCGTTCCTCCCCATCCTCCTCCCCTGGCTCCTCATTCAGTAATATCTTTAACTGCTGGCAGTGCGCTGCAAAGCTCCTTGTCGAGCGGCTCCACCCACGTCGACCCATTGACAGCCTCCCCTTCCCCTTCCTCGGGGGGCGATCATGCTCCCTTGCGTACGGCAGCACGTCGGTTGTTGGAGCCTGCGTCGACCGACTGGCTACCTCTTCCGCCTTTCCGTCCTCGGGACGGGCCAGGCTCACACCGAAGCGAGTATTGTACCCATCCCGAGTGCGGTGGGGATGGGCCCAAGTGCCATACGCCACCGCCTTGGACTGAGTGTTTTCGTGCGGGACTTGGGGGGTCGGCCCTGTGCCGACGTGGGCCCAAGGCCATCTAGGCCATCTCAGCCATCAGGGTCCCACGGGCTCCCTCAGGTGTCAGCCTTTAAACCAGCCAGCAGCAAATGCACTCGTTCGATAGGCGAGTCACGCGCGCTCGGTCACCGAGAGCACCCGCTGCCGAGGCATCCGACTCCGACTCCGACTCGGGACGGACTGCGAGAGGCCGGCCTGGGCTGGGGTGGGAGATTTTGTCCCCAATTATTCGCGCGGCGATCGCCCAGAGTCTGGCGTCGGACGGGGCTACGACCAGAATGCATCCGTTTCAGAGCTTCCAAAAGGCTCTCAGAGCGTTCCGACACTCTCTGAGAAGGCCGCGGCGCCCGAGACATCGTCCATAGCCGCTGGATCGCAGAGATTCTCGATGCGTCGTCACCCGAATTTGTCCTCATCCTGGCTTCGTCTCACGGCTGGCAGGAGGTGGAGACGGAGCTGCGGGAGCTGTGCCAGGAGTGCCGCAAGAAGTTCCCCATCATCAAGGACGCGCCCGCCGCTCGCCGCGGCGCGGGACGGCGTCAGAGGCGCCATCCATGGACCCAGACCCCCGATGTCGTTTTTTTTGTTGTTCATGACGTGACGCCCCCGGGAGCCTGGACCCCTTCCCCGGGACCGGCTCTTCATCCTGAGTCGTTTCTTGACACTCCCGAGGCCCTGGTAGGGCCCCGTGAGGCCGAAAACAGGGAAAAGCCTCCCGTCGTGATTTCCCACAGCGCGAGGAGGTCGGGGGATGGCGGAGGATCCAGCGCCGCCCCGAGAGGTGCCTGGCACTCCGTCGCCCGCGCCCACCGGGGCACCTGGCGGGCCTTGCGCGAGGCTGGCGCCATGGGGAGCGGCCGTGCCCCCGCCCCCCCCGCCCGAGGGGCCGCCCCCGAGGCGGCTCCCTCTCGTGACCCGTTCGCCGCCCCCTGTGCCCGTTGCGAAGAAAGCGCGACGGGAGGTTCTGGGGGCAGTCTGCGGCCTCAGGGGGCCCTCGCTGGGCGTCAGATTTTGGCCGATGTTCTTTCGACTGCTATTTAGAGGCGGTTCAGATATTCAGGCACAGGGGTTCCACGAGAGTGCGATAGACACGCGAGTGTCCAAATCTTGCCCGGATCGCCGAAGTTATGCTCCCGTGGCCACGAGGGCGCGCTAGACGCCGCGCGACTAGCATGGTTTGACGCTGTCTTCCAGGGTAGTTTTTTCGGGATGAACAACGGGCCCCAGGGAAGCGGAAGGGTCCATATCTCCGGGGGCCCGTGCAAGTGTGAATCATACCGACGTCGGAGATCAAGGTCCTTGAGGGGGGCGCCTCGTTGGAAAGATAGAGAGAGAGAGAGAGAGAGAGATGTGCCTCCAGAGAGTCTCTCAGGTCGAGGTTTGCCGCATGCCTCTCCCAAGAGGGCGGCCCCCCCCGAGCGGGGCTCCCGAGAGGCTCCGCGGCCTCCCCGGGCCTCCCCTCGAGGATCCAGCCGCGAGGGGCTCTCCCCAGAGGCATCGGGAGCCCAGCACCGAAGATGGCGCCTGCAGGCCCGGTGCCGGGAGCCTTCCCAGGGAGGATTGCCCGAGATGCGCGCCCCGGGATCCTCCCACAGGACCTCTCCCACAGGACCCTCTGTGCGAGGGATCGCCGCCTCCTCCCCCGCGCCAAGAGGAGTACACCGAGAGGGCGATCCTGAAGATCCGGTGCCACCACGAGCAGGCCGCTCTTCCGCCTGGGCCCTGGCGGACTCCCAACGCCTCAAGCCCGACGCCCCCCCTCTCTGCTCCGCTGGTCTCATTCCCCCCTTGCCCTCCCTGGGGAATCCATTGAGCTTTCTGCGCCAATCTCCCAATCCCTTTCAGGTCCTATCCACTTGAGTCCCCCTGGCCATGTACCCCCGGAGACCCTCAATCACCGCCCCTTGCCATACCCCACTGGCCTTATCCCAGCCCGCTACCTACAAGATCAATCCCTTGGCCCCCGCGGCACCAACACGTGCAGACCCTGGTCTTGTGAGGACGCCTTGTGGTCGTGGCCCTACGTAGTGGGGCCACTGAGTATCTGGCGTCTGGGAATGCGTCTGCTTGTGCAGGGCATGGCCAGTTGCACTCGTGGCTGGACGTGTCTCTCCGATGGCTCAACACATAGACACATAAGCACGTCCGCACGCACGCACACTGTTCCCCCCGATGCGCCGCGAAAGCCCGAGTGGCCAGCGACTAGAACCTGCCTCCCTGCAAAGGGCGTGGCAGGGCTGAGCCCCCGGATCCGCGGTTCCAGAGCTCCCGACCCCCTCCCTGGGGGCAGTTCTGCGTCCCAGATCCGTGTGTTTGATGTCCCATGCGTGGCCCGTCCCCCGGAGCGGCCCTCGCCTTGTTCCCCCCCCCCTTCGGCCGCCCGCCCTCCCCGTTTTTCATTCTTGCACTGTGGTGCAGTTCGCTCCAACGGTGCCCCCGTTTCGTGAGCTCTTCAGCCAGCGCAGTTCCTCTGCCCAGCCGCCGACGCAAAGAGTTAGATGGCCCCGGGGCCCCGTAGGCCGAAATCCAGGGAGAGAACGCCCGGAGGGAACAAACACCACATCGTCGGAGATCGTCGTTTTCTTATTCGTTGTTTTGCCGATCGGCGCGGGCCCTCGCAAAAGCTCATCCCACGGAGTAGATCTTGGCTGTTTTTGGGCCCTGTGTCAAGCAAGTGGAGTCTCCCCCATAGGACGCACTGTTGCAAACAGTCGCATTACGCAGAGGTCTGGAGCCAGACCCCCCCTCCCCCCCACTTTCGCCCAATGTCGAAACGCCGACTAAGAAAACTTTCGCGGAGCGGGATCTGTCGTGCAAGCAGTCGGGCACTGCGGGTGGGTTGGCGGCGCCGGCACTGCGGGCGTGCAGGGCACAGCACCTACACGTTTAGTGGGCGGGCAGGCGCAGCTAGTGGGCGGGCAGGCGCAGCCGGACATGTGCAAAACCGGTTGGTACGAGGGTGCTGCACACACACAGAGACACACACACAGACACACACACACACACACACGCACACACACACACACACACACACATCCGTAGCCATTTTGGCTCAAGGCGATGAGATTCCCGACGACCGCGAGTCTCTCGGGGCGATCAAGCGCGAGGGATCTCCCCTTGCGCCAAATCTCTCCACCGTCAAAACTGTGCTGCTTTCTGGGCTTCTGCACTGAGTGGCGCCCACACTCACGTGCCTTGCTGGTCCGCCCCAGCAGTGGCCATCACGTTTCCATCTCGGCACGTCCCTGTCAGTCGTATGCCTGATGGCGCAGACGCTGGTGCTCCGCGACGCTCAGGGCGTGCACGTGCGAGTGGCGATGGGCGTCAGTCGCCACGCAGCCGTGTCAGCTCGGCGCGCCACGAAGATGACGTGCGGAGCAGGAGCCAGGGCTCCCCGATGGCTGCGCGTGCTACTGCCCGCGCTGGTCCTGCTGGCAGCATGGAGACGGACGACCCGTTGCAGCGCGCTGATCCCTGGTCTGCTGAAGGAGGGGGCGATGGACGTGGAGGCAGTGCTGGGCGTGGCCAGGCCGTTGCCGCTGGGACACCGCCTGTCATCGCCATCAACTCCCCGCGCCTCCCCAAGGACAGGAACGCCCCCGTCCTCCACGGCGACTTGGATGACATTCTGGCCGCCCTTCAGTCAAACATCATCAGCTCGGTGTCCGCCTCGGTCAAGGAGTCCGCGGATCGCATGCAGCGCGGCATCACGGAGAGCACAGCCACGGCCATCCGTGCGTTCGCGGCGAGGCAGGAGACCATCAACGAGGAGACCAGTCTTCATCTCCGTGATCTCGATGCCAGGCAGGACGCGCTGGAAAAGGCTCACCGTGAGATGCGGTCACAGCTCGCTCGGATGCAGGAGATTGTTCACCAGTGCGAGAAGGAGGCGCCGCCCGAGCTGGATGTCACCAGCAACGTCGCCTTCACTCGCGAGCCGAATCACACCATCTTCGTGGCCACCACAAAGGAGCCGGTGGCGGTGGCTGCCATCCGCGAGTGCGTCGCCCCCTGGTTGGCTGAGGGCGGCTTCACTGACGAGCAATGGAAGATTGAGGGCGATAGTCCAGGCCGCCGTTTCATCATTCAGCTCCTGGGCGCGGAAGGTTTCGCCGCGAGGCACGTGCACCACGCGTTCAAGCATCTCAAGCTGGCCAGTGGCGAGTGGCGCAGGTTCGACGCAGCCACCCCCGCGGGGGCCCGCACTGCCGTCTTTGTGGGCCTTGACAAAAGCCCGCAGATGGTGCGGCGCGAGATCGAGACAAAGAAGCTGCTGGAGATTGTCAAGGAGTCGTGCGTGGGCAGATGGAGAGCACATCGCGCTCAGGGCGTCATCTACAGGGGCTCTTCGCCTGTCATCAAGGTCCTCGTCCCTGAGACGCCATCTGAGGCAACTGCGCTCCAGTGGAACTACCGCATGGTCCTCGAGACGGGTATTGACAAGCAGAGCTTTGCGGAGGCGTTCGCGGAGCGCTTTGGCGCGTCAGAGCGCATCCAGTGGGCTATTTAGCAGGCGGCTGGCATGCTGGCGCCCTGTGTCCTCGTCTTCGGGCGCGTCGGGTTCGAGGATTCCCCCGGCGTTGTTCGGCACTTGGAATGCTCGTGCTCTTCTTCATCATGACCGTACCGCGGGTGGCATCCGCGAGCTCAAGCTCTGCTACTTGGCACACTTGTTGAGGCGTGGGGTGGTGATGGCGGTCCAGGAAGTCCATGCCACGCGGGCTGAGCTTCGTCAGGCTCTGCATCGGTTGCACATCTCCTGCCAGGTATTCGAGTCCATACCACGCGTGGACGCTGGTGGCGTCTGCATCATCGTACCCTGCGATCCCTTGGTTCTGCAGCGGGCGCGCTTTCGTCCTGAGGTGATCGTCCCTGGCCGCATCCTGAGGCTGAGGATCTCCGCGATCGCCGCTGATGGCAATTCTTCTTGCAGTACTGTGATTTACAATGTGCACAACTTTGGTTTAAGCGATGAGGACCGCTCGAAATTTCGAAGCAAGCTCTTCTCCGATCTCACAATGGCAGACATGGCACCCGAGAAGGTCACCGTTCTTTTGCTAGGAGACTTCAACCTGTATAAGCAAGCCCCCATGTACCCACGTGCTCCTGAGGTGGACAAGAGGCGTAGTCAAGGTGATGTTGCGGTGCGCGCTCATGACGCCTTCTGGCAGAGTGTGTTTAGCCGCATGATGGAGCTGGACAATGAGCTGCCCACGCATTACGTCACAAATGAGTGGCAGCCCAAGCTCACCCAGATCGATCGCGTGTTCGTATCAATGCCGAGCTGGGCTGCCCTGCAGCAGCACTTCGATGCGCTTACGGAGGATAAGCCTGAAGACTTGCACGAGAGAGGCATAAGTGACCATGTGCCTGTCGTGGTCTCGGTCTCGGCCCGTCAGGTGGCGCCCGCCGAGGAGCAGAGGATCCCCTCCCACTTCTTCAAGGATCCTGAGTTCGCTGCTCAGTACGAGAGGCTGCGCGTGCTCGTCGATTGGTCCAAGCTCGGGGTGTATGCGACGAGGCGGCGGCACAAGGAGCTGATGAAGGAGGCCGCGAGGTATGTGAGGGATCTGCGCTGCCGCAACCCGAAAGGCGAGACGAAGCTGATGGTCTTTCGCTCGATGTCTCGAGCGGTCTGGCGAGATGATGTCGAGTTGGGACAGAGGCTCCTCTTGACGTGTGAGATCGCGCCGACGTACATCTCGGTCTCTAGCGTCCAGGTCTCGCTGATCGACCCGCCGTCGTTCGCTAGGGACTTCGCCGAGGCCCAGCGCTTGCACTTCGAGGCTCGAGCGGCTGCCCTCTCGGAGCAGGAGGCGAAGGCGTTCGACCCCACATCGTTCAAGATGGTGAATGCTGCCCGGCGCAAGTTGCGCAGGCGGGAAGCTTTGTGGTCGCCCTTCAATCGCACGCTCAAGTTGCAAGGCATCAAGGTGCCCGACGATGAGGGACACAAGGTGCTGACGGACCAGGTCGACATGGTCGAGGCCCTCCGCAACCACTGGGCCCCGATCTTCCAGGTCAAGCCGAAGGTTCCCGACTGGCAGGTCCTAGCGGGCAAGTACATCGCAGAGCACGCGCCGCAGCTGGAGGTGGCCGACCTGCTCCCCCCTGATCGGCAGGCGCTGTTGCGCGCTGCTGCTCGAGCGAAGGAGTCGGCGCCTGGGCCCGACGGCCTGCCGTATGCAGCCTGGCGTGCATGCCCTGCAGCGCTAGCGGCGCTGGAGGACGTGGTCCTGGAGATTGCGTCTGGCAGGCCGCCGCCCGTCGACTGGAACGATCACCTGCTCGCCTTCCTCCCGAAGGGTTCGTACGAGGAGGATCTAGTGGAAGGCGCATTTCGCACGCCGTGCACCACGCGGGCGATTGCGCTCAAGAATGCGGACTGCAAGCTGGTGGCCTCAGCGGTGAACGCGCGGATCAAGGGACCCATAGAGAAGGCTTCGCCTGCCCCCCAGCGGGGCTTCCTGCAGGGCCGCAACTTCCTGGACAACATCTGCTTGCTGGACGCCACCGCGCGCGCCGCGGGGCTGCAGGAGTCGGGCAAGCCCATCATGGCTCTGTTCGACTTTGGCGACGCGTTCCCTTCGTTGATGACCGAATGGATGCTGCTCATGCTGATCCACTCGGGATTCGTAGGAGGCGTTCGGTACGTGCTGGAGGCGCTCTACTGGCTTCCCACGGCGTATGTGGAGCTCGCGGGCGCGATGGTGCGCTTTGTTTGCGTCTCCTGCGGGCTCGCCCAGGGATGTCCGTCCTCTGGGAGTCTCTGGGCCATTGCAATGAACCCGTTCATCCATCACATGATGCAGTACACTGACCGCGATGCCAGTCGCCTCTCCGCCCTCGGGGTATGTGCTGACGACGTCGGAGTGGTGCTGCGGTCGCGCCACTTGCTCCGTGGGCTGTGGCGGGCCTTCGCTGCTGCTCGGGCGCTCGCCAGCTTGCACCTGAAGCTCCACAAGTGCGTGCTGATCCCGCTGGAGGGCAAGTTCTCTGACGAGCTCGTCGCAGATCTCAGAGGATGGCTGGCCGAAGCCTTGTGCGAGTGGAGCGGCATGCAGGTGCGCGACCAGGCGGAGTACCTGGGCTTCGCTGTCGGCCCTGGCGCGACGCAGCGGGACATCTGGAGGAAGGCGGCGGCAAAGTGGCTCTCCCGTGTCGTGGACATCGCGATGAGCGGTGCGGCCCCGTCGCTGGCTGCTCGGCTTTATAATCGACGTGCTCTGCCTGTCTTGGGATATCTCCAACAACTGGCGGCCACCCCGAAGATGGTGCTGGCCAAGGAGGGGTGGGCGGTCGCCAAGTTGTGGCGCATGCCCCCACAGGCGCTGGGCAGGCATGACTTTCTGGCCCTGGGTGCGTGGGCGCCTGGCCTTCGTATCCGCTCGTTGCTGGCCACGGGCTGTGCAGCGGCCATGCGATCGGCCCTCTCCACGGTGAGCAACTGGAAGGAGCTGCACGCATGGCTGCAGACACAGGTCCAGGACCACGGGAGCCTATGGGTCATTGGCAGCGGCACTTTGTCCCCGCCGTATTGGCAGACCAGGCCAATCGTACAGTTCCTTGCTTCTGCGCAGGAGGATTTTGTGAATGATCGTGTGCTCGCGCGTCCTGCCGCCGCTGCGAGGGAGGCACTCGTCCGCGCCTGCCGCGACGCAGCTGAGCGGGGCGTGCGAGTGCGTGCGCAGAAAACATTGTATTCTTCTTTGCACGCCTCGCTCCATCCCGACCTCCTCCACCTCCTGATCCAGCGCCGTTTGAAGGCGTGGGGGCTCGAGGTTGAAGGTCGCGTCGGGTGTCCCAGAGCCTGCCGTTCTCACGCGGTGTCATGCAAGGCGCGGTGGGCCGGCCTGAGAGATGCGATTTCGCGCCTCGCCCCGTCGTGGCAGAGTGCGATTCTTAAGACGGTCTCGGGCGCCTGGCTCACATCGGGCCGCCTTCACGTACAGACGGGCGTCGGCGAGTGTCGCTTTCGGTGCAGGGAGCCGCCTCTGATAGCTGCGCCTGACACTTTTTCGCACTATTTGGACTGTAATGTTCTATGGTCGATCGCCTACCCGCCCCAGGCCGAGATTCCGAGTTGTGCAGTCTGTCGTCTTGGCCTTGGCGGATCACCCAGCCCATCCACAATTGAGGCTGTGGTCACTGCTTATCATATTTATAACTCTGCCAGAGTTTTGTGCCCGCCGCCCAACCCCTCTGAGGAAGCTTGGGAAGGCCACTTGTACGAATTGCGGCGTGCTGCATGCGCACTCGTCGAGCTCACAAGAACTCGAGAGGCTCCGTAGGGCTCGTTAGGGCTCGTTGGTGACCTCTGAGGACCCCCTTTGAGTACGTGCGACACACACACACACACACGTCACACACACACACACGTCACACACACACACACACACACACGTCACACACACACACACACACACACACGTCACACACACGTCACACACACACACACACACACACACACACACACACACACACACACACACGTCACACACACACACACACACACGTCACACACACGTCACACACGCACGCACGCACGCACGCACGCACGCACGCACGCACGCACGCACGCACGCACACACACACACACATACACACACACACACACGCACGCACGCACGCACCCACGCACCCACGCACCCACGCACGCACGCACGCACGCACGCACGCACGCACGCACGCACGCACGCACGCACGCACACACACACAGACACACACACACACAGACACACACACACACACACACAGCGCGCGCACACTTTGGGCGTCGCGGCCCTGCGCGCAGCGACAGGGCAGAGAAGGTCGAGAAGCAGCAAACGCGCGCCCCCGCGACTAGGAACGCCTGAGCCCTCAGAGACCGTTAGGGGTCCGCAGCCGCTGGCAGCCACGAGCCATCCGGGCGTGGATGGCATGGGGTGACGGTGGAAGTGAGGGTGCTTCGCGCACACAAGCGCGCATGACATGCACACAAGCATGATGGCAGGCCCTTCCTCTCCTTGGAGGAGGTTTTCTTCGAAGGGCTCAGGCGGCCCGGCCTCCTCCTCCTCCTCCTCCTCCTCCTCCTCTTCCCCCTCCTCCTCCTCCTATGGGCGGGGCAGCTGGAGAGCCGCAGACCGTGGGAGGGGTGGGTCGTCGCCGTCGGAGTCGGGGGCGGGGAGGTTTGGGAAGGGACGGTGATCGGTCCCCCAGGAGCGGCACCTGACCCCAGGCTGCGCGCCAACGGGGAAGGCCGCCGCTCGGGGCAGCGCGGCCCCCTGGCCGCGAGGCCAATGGGCCATCTTCCACAGTTATCTTGCCCATAGGGGCCATGACAGTCGAAAACTCGACGCTCAGAGGCAGTTGTTTTCCTAGAAGAGTGGGTTGGACGACCCTCCCAGAGCAGACTATTCCTCCTCCTCCTCCTCCTCCTCCTCCTCCTCCTCCTCCTCCGCCCCCCGCCCCCCCTGCCCCCCCAGCCCTTGCGGACCCCCTCCCGCAGGTGGAGAAGGCGGCGAGGGCCAGCACGGCCCCCGGCGCGCAGGCCCTGGGCCCGACGACGACCACGACGACGACGACGACGACGACGACGACGACGACGACGACGACGCCAACAACCACGACGACGACGACGACGCCGACGACGACGACGACGACGCCAACGCCGACGCCGACGCCGACGACGACCGACCGACCGACCAACCGACTGACCGACCGACCGACGACGACGGCGACCGACGACGACAACCGACGGCGACGACGACGACCGACGATCGACGACCGACGACCGACGAGCGAGGATCACGAGGAGAAGAAGGCGAGCGGAGAGAAGGGGGGAGCAGGCGAGGGCGGAGGGGGGCGGCGAAATGGTTCAGAGGCGGAGGCGGGAGGGGGCAGGAAGGTCGGGGGCCGGACCACGGGGGGCCGGATGTGCCCTGAGGGCGACGAGGGGCCCCCGCGCATCGGACGAGGCGCAGCCCCTGCCAGAGGGCGAGCCTGCAGGCGGGTCGGGCGCGCAAGGAGCGGGATGAGCCCGGGGCACACGGGAAGCGGCCGAGGGTATGCTGTGGAGGCGGCTCGAGGCTTGCTCTCGCGTCTCCTCTACTGGCGCCTACGCCCTTGCCCCCGTCGCTGGCAGGGAATCTCGCTGCCCTCGCGTGAGCTGGCGGAGCTTACTCTCTCCCCAGCCCCCCTCTGTCCTTGCGACGTCCCTCTGCATAGAGTCGACCCCCAGAGGTCTCGACCCATGCCCCTGGACTGGCGTTTCATCCTGAGTCGTTTTTTTTTAAGGTTCCGGGGCCCAGCCCCCCGGTGGCCGAAGAGAACGAGCAAAGCTCACGTCGGGTTGTTCATGACCTTACTGGGTTTCCTGGTCTTCCCCCTCCTCGTTTGTTTCGACGTGGCAATCTCAAGGTGCAAGCGCTGAGACTAGTTTCGCCTGTGGGGCTCGTTGGTCCGCCCATGAGCTGCAGAGGGCAGCGGCGCGCGAACGATCTACAAATCAGGATGCGGTGGCAAGACCATATGGCTCCACGTGTCCCTGTGACAACCTGCCCGCCCACCGCCAGGTCGAGGGGAGCAGCCTCAGACATCTCTTAGGTTGCACGCGGCGCACAGTCAACTCGCATAGCGCTATCCTTGCGTCCTTGCCTCCTCGGTCCACCCTTGGCCACTTTCGCTGGCCGCGCCCCGCTCGGAGAGCTCCGAGATTGGCCTTCCAAGGCCCTGGCATCCTTATCGCGCGTCCTTGTGGTACGGGCTGGCTCTATTCCGCCGCCGCCCACTCTCTTCCACGGGCAGGGGCTTCCTCCCTCTCTCTGGAACTCCCCCCCCTTTTGCTCCTCCTCTCGCCTCCTTCTCCTCCTCCTCATCCTCCTCTCGCCTCCTCCTCCTCCTCCTCCTCCTGCTCCTCCTCATCCTCCTCCTCCTCTTCCTCCTCCTCCTCCTCCTCCTCCTCTCCTTCTCCTCCGCCTCCTCCTCCTCCTACTCCTGCGCGTGTTGACTGTGTCTGCGTGACCCTCTTCCCCCCTCACGGCTTCTCGTCGGGACCCCCGCCTCGTGCCGAAACGGCGCGCCCCGGTCGCTGCGCCGATGCACGGCAGGCACATCCAACGGGAGGCCAGCCTGGTGATGCTCCAACCTATTTCAGTTTTGACCACCAGGACGAATTTCCCAGACCCCCTGGGGTAAATGACAAATCATGGCGGGAGATTTTTTCTTTAATTCAACAGATCGGCCTCTGGAGGCCCTTTTTGCCGACTCTCGGGACCGTCAAATAAAAGCCCAGGATGGAACACCGGTCCCGGGGAATGGGTTGAGACTTCTGAGGGTCGACGTTATGAAAAGCACATTACAGCGGAATCTGGTCTTTGAGCGAAATTGTACGTTTTTACGTGTCGGGCCCTGGGAGGCGATACTCGTTCGGGACTGCGCTCGCGTGTCGGGCCTACACTGTTTCGATACTTCTTCTGGGTATGATCGGGGTTGATTATGGGATGTGGTCCTTAAGTACGATGGGAACAACATAAGACGAGCCTTCCTGAAGGTTCTGAGCCGTCTCTGGGGGTCTGAGGTGGCCCAGCACTCAGAGGAGAACACGAAGGTACCATGCCTCTGCCCGTCCCTCGTTTCCCCATTTTGGGCCCCCCTGGGAGGCCCTCCTCGCCACCGCTGGATTCGCCTCGAGATTCTGGCCAGAACGAACCCCAGGAGAGGTCCGGGGAGCAGCGGGATCCGTACGTGTTGGTTGGTGTTGCTCCCATCGTACTTGAGGACCAAGCCCTAGAAATGATTCCGAGCACCCAGAAAAATATCGAAACAGTGTCGAGCGAGTATCGCCCATTCTCGTGGTGCTCGAACAAGTCTTTCAGGTGGTTTAGGCTAAAGTAGGTTGGGACATCTTAAGTGTTGGTTTCCCCAAGCGCTGGTTTCGGCCAGCAGGAAGGGCGGGCAGGTTCGAGGCTCTGCGTTCGCGCGAAGGTTGGGGGCCTTGATCTCGGCCTACGGGGGCAGTTTTTTTCGGCCCTCGGAGTGAGAACGGGGGATTGTGGAGCCCCTCGTCGTTTTCATGCGGTTTATCGAGTGAAGCGCTCATCCGCCCCCCGTTGTTGAGTGATGTCTTGATTTTGTGTTGTCTTTCCAGCGTGATCCTCTTCGTTCCTTGTTCTTTTTTATTTTATTAGTACGATTAGTATTAGTATTATTAATATGATTCTATTATTATATGTATTCGTTCTCGGTACCTTTCTTCCTTCCATCTTGAGGACCATCCTCTTCCCATTCCTTCCAGCGTGATCCGTTTCTTTTCTTATTTTCTGTCTTCGTTCTCGGTATCTTTCTTCTTTCCTCCTTGAGATTCGTCCTTTTCCTTAAGTCGGGCATGCCCCTCTACAGGAGGAGTATTCAAACATAGACAACACATAGTCTAGGGACGAGTTTCCTATTGCGTTTGACTCTGTTTCAACATTTGCGGGGTATATGTTTCATTTGTTGTCCAGAATCCTCCTGTACGGGGACATGCCCGACCTAACCTTATCCCATCCCTCCCCCATGTTTACTCTGTTTTTTGTTGTTGCTCCCTCCCCCCCCTGGGTGTGCGAGAGGCCGCCGCGGCACCCGAGTTCCCGCTGGACGAGGTGCTGCGCGCCATCCTGATGGCGTGCGAGACGTTCCAGTGCAAGATCGTGCCCCACCTCCTCCTCCTCCTCCTACTCCTCCTCCTCCGTCTTCTCCTCCTCCTCCTCCTCCTCGTCCTCCTCCTCCTCCTCCTCTGCTCCTCCTTCTCATTCTCTTCCTCCTCCTCCTTCTCCCCCCCATCCGCCTTTTTCTCCTCCTCCTCCTCATCCTCCTCCTCCTCGTCGTCCTCCTCTTCCTCCTCCTCCTCCACCCCGTGACGCCCGTACGTCGTGAAGCAAGGTCTCGGCGGGGGGGGGGGGGCTTTCGTCACACGTTCGGCCTCCGGGTGCGCTCGCCAGGCACTGGGACTACTCAAAAACCGAGCCGGGATGAAGAACTGGTGCCCCACACAATGACGCCCTCGCGTCGTGAAGCAAGGTCTCGGCGAGGGGGGGCTTTTGTCACACGTTCGGCCTCCAGGAGCCCTCGCCAGGCCCGGGGGCCCTCAACGAAACAAATGAAAATGCAAATCTGATCCAGGGGCTGATCTTTTCGTATGGGGACAGCAGCTGGCACAAACAGACACTTCCGGAGTTTCGTGCGAATTTCGTGGATCTGAGCTGGACCCCCCTTGCCTGGCGCGCGGTGCATGCCGGGGGCGGCGCCGGAGGCGCCGCCAGGTGGGTCCAGCGCCGATCTAAGAAGTTCGCGCGGAGGACGAAGGTATATGCTTATGCTGGTCTTTGTCTCTCAAGGAATCCACTGAATCAGCCGCCTGCTGGTCGGAAGGTGTGGAAACATTGAGCATCATACAGCCCCGAACCCCGAACCCTAACAACACAATGAATCCGTGGCCCAACTTAGGTCCTCGGTTTTTTGGGTAATGTCCCCAAGCATGTGGGTGGTCTCGTCTGAGATATCTGCAACAAAAAAACACCCTCAATGTCCCTGGCCCTCCTAAGTCAGATCCCCTCCCAGATGATGTGGGATACTTTTGTTGTTGATCATGGGTCGATCTCTCCCTTTTGCTGCTGTCGATCATGGTACATCTGTTGTTGATCATTGATCATGGGTACTTGTGTTGTTGTTGTCCCCTCCCAGAGGACTCGGGGTAGGCCTCTAGAGGATGACGTGACACAAACAAAAAAAACACGACGTTGGGGATCTGGGCACGTGGTGCCCCCCGGTGCCCCACGGCAGCTCCGCGCCGCGCTGGCGCGGCGGCAACACCCCAGCGCGCGGCGCTCTCGAGGCCGCGGGCCGCCGGTGGCCCGGAGAATCGGCCAGCATCGAGCGACCTGCGGTTCCCACACCCCCTTCGAGCCAGGAAGAACTCACGACGGGCGGTGTGTTGCCGTTTGTTCGTGGCCAGCCGCTCCGGCCCGCTCACCGCGGAGCTCTTTCACGTCTCAGCGCCTCTCTCCTTCTCCCCCCGCGCGGCTGGTCTCTCTTCTCCTCCTCGCCCTCTTGCGCGCCGGATAATTGGCCGATCGGTGCTCCCGATGAGTCCCACGCTGGTGCGGATCGCCTCTGCCTCCCCGCCGACGGAGAAGTGTTTTGCTAGTTGCGGCCTCCTGGGGCCATGACGGGGCGTCGTGACCCTCAACAAGACGACTAACCAAGGGATGAAAAACCGGTTCCTGGGCATGGTTCAAGTCCTTTGGGGATCGACGTCAACAAAAAAATAGGACTTCGGGGGCCTGGGAAGGTTGGGCGACCACTGGAGATGTCAGGAACCGCCTTGGTGGGGCTCACCTGCTTCTCCAGAGGCCAGCAAGGGTACACCGACACCGAACGCAGGGGGGTGAGAAAAGACACATCTCAGGTGGGGATCTTCGGATGGTGAGCGCAATCCCAGCGGAGCGAAAACAGAAACAGGAGGGGTGAGAGGGAGTAGAGGAGGGAAGTCGAGGAGGAGGATGGAGAGGGATATGTGGACAAGGACGAGGACATGGGGGAAGACGAGGGAAGGCGGACTTCGAGAGGGGGGCTTACCAGTGAAGCGCGCCAGCGCCTTCAAATCATTGACTCGAGCGCTCTGGGATTTGTTTGGCAACGTTGACTTGGGGCTTTAGACGAGAAGGTATTCCCGGAGTGAGCCCGACTCTGAGTGGGATAACCGCAGAATCTCAGAAGGTCTTTAATGATGCCCCCGCCGAAGCCCTCGGCGGGCAATTAAACGTGTCCTCCCCCTCCTCGTCACTCCTCTACTCTCCCTCTTCCTTGCTCTCCCTCCTCGCCCTCCTCCTCGTGCTCCCCATCCTTGCCCTCCCCTTCGTCCTCCCTGGCCTCGTCCTTACCATCCTCGCCCTCCTTGCTCTCCCTCCTCGCCCTCCTCCTCGTGCTCCCCTCCTCGCCCTCCGCCCCGTCCTCCCTTTCCTCGTCCTTCCCCTCCTCGCCCTCCTCCTCGCTCTCCCTCTTCGCCCTCCTCCTCGTGCTCCCCTCCTCGCCCTCGTCCTTGCTCTCCCTCCTTGCCATCCTCCTCACTCTCGCCATATTAGCCTTCCTCGCCCTCCTTTCCTTTGAGATCACCAAGAAGTCCATTAAGGGGTCCCAGGGATGGCCTTGGGATTATCTGAGGGAGGGATCCTTACAGAAATGCATGTCTGCATTTACGAACAACGATCTGGCTGTATATACATCTAAAATACATACGCGCTGCTTCGATGGAGGATTAACGATGACATATCAATATCCGCAATTATTGTTATTCCCTACCTAGGCTCTGCCTAGAAGGGTTCTTACTCTGTTAGCTTAAAGGGGCCGGGCAGTGCTACACGCCCCGGGCGGTTCCCCCAGTCCCCTGGGAGCGGTTCCCCCCAGTCCCCTGGGAGCTTTAGCTTTAGCTTTAGCTTTAGCTTAGCTTTAGCTTAGCTTTAGCTTAGCTGTAGCTTAGCTTTAGCTTAGCGTTTCGCTTAGCTGTTCGCTTAGCGTTTAGCTTAGCTTTAGCTTAGCTTTAGCTTAGCTTTAGCTTAGCTTGAGCTTAACTGTAGCTTAGCGTTAGCTTAGCTTTAGTTTAGATTTAGCTCAGCTTTAGCTTAGCTTTAGCTTAGATGTAGCTTAGTTTTAGCTTAGCTGTAGCTTAGCTTTAGCTTAGCTGTTGCTCAGCTTTTGCTTAGCTGCAGCTTAGCTTTAGTTTAGCTTTATCTTAGCTTTAGCTTAGCTTTAACTTAACTTTAGCTCAGATGTGGCTTAGCTTTAGCTTAGCTTTAACTTAGCTTTAGCTTAGCTTTAGCTTAGCTTTAGCTTAGCGTTACTGTTACTACTAATGCTGCTTTCCTAGGGGTTCCAACTCCTAGGTAGGGTCGCACTGGGATAATATAGATGTAGATGCACACGATCATACCGTGGGACGTGGGCTCGGGCCCCGGAATTGCGTCCTGGGCAATACACGGGAGGACGCCAGCCCACGAGGCCGCCAAGATGGTCTAGGCTGGCCCCCAGACGGCCTCAGTAGTCCCCAAGACGCTTCCAAAACGCCGCCACGAGGTTCCCAAAGGCCCCCGAGATCTTGCGAGAGGCTTCCAAGAGAGCTCCAAGAAGCCAACATCTGTCAAATGTCATCTGAAAACCATTGGTTTTTGAGGATCTAGCCTTTTCGCTACCGATGTGCTCATGAGGCCTCTGGGCGGCCCCCAAATTGCCCAAGAGCGCCGCAATACAAGCCCTGGAGGGCCCCAAGAGCTCTCCAGAGCCCCCCAAAGACGGTCCAAGAGATCTCCCAGACCTGCAGAGTTGCCCCAGACGGCTTCCGAAGGCATCTGACGGTGTAATCAGTGAGGGAGCTGGAGCGCGGCGGCGAATCCGGTGGCTGTCTCCAACGCGGTCTGGCGTCTGGCCGGCCGGCTGCCGCGGCGGGGCAGGTATTGCTATCGTTGTCGTGCCTGCAGCGCCTGATCCACCGGCGGGTCCTGAAGGAGGGCGGGTGGCGCAGGGGCTCCCTGCTGCACTCAGCGCCTGTCGCGCTGCGGCCCGCGGCCCGTCAGCCCCCCACCCCTTCTCTCCTCCCCGCTCTGCCTGGCCACCCTTGCACGCAGTCCGCGTTCCTCTTTCTCCTCCTCTCCCTCCCTTCCACCTCATCCCCCCTGCCGCCATACTGTACACACTGTGGCCAAGCGAGCGATCTTATGCGGTTTCTTCTTGACACCTGACCGCGATCATGCCCACTGGGATGGGCACGGGGGTTGCTCAGTGGACAGGGGGGGTTACCAGTGGACGCCCAAAAGGTTATACCTGGCCTAGCCCACCTTATAAGTGGGTAACACATGCCCCGAGTGGCTTAGGGGGATTCTGCAACTCCGCTAAGTGGGCGGAGCCCACTTAGCCTGCATCGCTATCCCCCCAAGCTACTTGGAACATTTGCAACTCACTGATGAGCTAGGTTAGGCCAGGTATAACCCTCCTCCTCCTCCTCCTCCTCCTTCTCCTCAGTCCTCACTCCGCTCAGTCAGAGAGGGAGGGGGTGAGAGAGAGAGAGAGAGAAATAGAGTGGAAAATCGTAGCCGTCAACACAAGACGAAGACGAACAACCAGCAAACCCATAAGCTTTCCGCGCTCCGTGCGGATTTCTTGGATCTGCGCTGGGGCCCCCTGGCGGCGCTTCCGGCGCCTCTCCTGGCGCGCCCCGCGCGCCAGGGAGGGGGCTCCAGCTCAGATGCAAGAAATCCGCGAGGGGCGCCCAGAGTGTAAGTTTATGCTGTGTTGTGTTCCTCTCTAACGAGAGGTTCCCGACAGCGTGTGTCGCCCACGGGGCGCTGTTGTATGGTGTCTCTCCTCTAGAGCGTCAGGATGCGGCCCGCAGGGCGCCTGACGAGATCGTTGAAGCCCGACTAGGTATGGGAGCCCAGAGGTCGCGC